TAGATACTGTTGCAGAATTAATTGTAAAGCATTTAGGAATAAAGTTAAAATCTTCTGCAAATTTTTTATAGTCAATTAAATGATAATTTTCAGATAAATAGAGATGAATGCGAGCTAAATTAATACAAAACTGCATTCGATTTTTTGTTTTGTAAGGAGGGATTGTTAATTCTGAAGCAAAAATTTTACTATAATTCAATTTAGTAAATAGAATAGTAATAAATTTATGAATCAGTTTTCTTAAAGTATTTTCGAGAATGGTAAATAGAATAGTTGCATTAGAATCAGTATTTGGGTTGTTTTTGAAGATAAAATCAGTTAAAAATTTTAAATAGATACCAGCCATTGTGCGAATAAGTTGTTTAAAAGTTGCCTTAGAAGCTTTTTGGGTTTGAGTTGCAGCTTTGGTTTCTTTTCCAGGATAGAAGTCATGTAGATAATTTTTAAAGAAATTGAATAGGTCAAAGGAAAGTGTTGTTTGGAGTTTAGTATTGGCTCCCATGTTTTCTGTGATTGGGAAATTTGCAATCCAGTCATAGGTTGGAGGAAGTTTAGTAAATTTTGGTTGTTGTTTTGGTATTGTTTCATCTGTTTCTATTTGATTATTAAGTTGTTTTTCACTTTCATTCTCAATAGTAGTTTCAAAGATGTTATCCTTTGATGAGTCAAAGTTATTTTTTGAAGTAGAAGGTTTTGGAAAAATTGTTTTAAAGAGAAAAATTTTCTCTTTAGAAATTATTTTGGCTATTTTCATAGCAATGAGAACTGATTTTTATTTGAGTGTTAATAGAGCAGTTTGAGGTTTGAAAGAAAGTTTGATATCTCAAAGTTTAGAGATACAGCTACAATGTAACAAGAAGTTTTTAAAGATTATGCACTGAGTATAGTCAGATGCATGTTTAGTATCAGCGAGATAAATATATGAAATGGTTTTTTGTTTACAGCATAAGCATATGTAGTGGTGTTGAGAATGTGGAGTAATTGCAGAAGGAGTTGAATTGGTATTAAAGTTTGGGAAGAGGATTTTAGAATTGACCGAAGGTTGTTGTTATTATTGTTTTGGAAGAAGAGAAGTTTAGAGTTCATCAGTAATTCAATTAAAATGTTTAGCTGAGATAGTTGGAGATATTTCTATAGGAGTTGTACCTAGAATTGTCTGAGGAGAGATTTTGTAAAATTGAGAAATGAAGTTGGTATAGTATTTACCACATAAGCAAGTAGCTAGTTGTGGTTGAGTAGGGACTTTGAAATAGTAATGCTTTTTTGTTGAACTAGGGTCACATGCTACAGGATTGACGTTTACAGATAAAACACGTAAAGTTTCAGGCTTAGCTTCAGTCATACCAATACCATAACAATCTCTGTATTTTCCATAATAGTAGTCAATATTATATGAATCAAGCTCTTCAGTAATAAGAGATAGCATTGTTAGAGTAGTTTAAAATCGAAGAGATTATAGTAAGCTTCGTGATGTGCTAAAATTTTGTTCATGTAATATTACTCAAGTGGTACTATACTTGTGATTTGTGTAACAAGTTTGGCTAGTGTGGCTGGTGTAGCTGATGTAGTACACAGTATGATACGTATAACTTTACTATAAATAGTAAAGCTTAAAATAGCTAAAAATAAAAATAGAATTTGATAATAATAGAATATATATTTATAAAAATTAAAAATAGAAAAAAGATTTGTAATCAAATTACAAATCTTTTATGCAAGATAAATTTTGTGCTAATTTAATAAGAGCAAATTTGACAAGTTATAATTTATGTAACAGTTGCAATTTTATACTAATTTGGTAAGAGATAGTACAACAGAAATAGAAAAAATTTTTTGGGGCAAAAGGAAAACTTATAGGTGTTTTTAAAGCCAATTGGAACTATAGAAAGCTTAATATTTGTGCTAGAAAGATGGTTTAGAGCTTGTTATGACCGGAAGAGGCTGGCCAACAACATTACTTAAGAGCACAAAGGAGGTTTAGAAGCTAGTTTTTAAAGAATTTTGAAATTTCGCTGCCTTTAGTTTTTTAAGTATAACTCTGCTTAGAGAGAAGCGAAAGTTATAAAACTAGGCTACTTAGATGTAAAACTATGTGTAGAGCAAGTTTACTTAAGAGTACTTACTTGGTTTAATTAATAAAATTTTGAGAAAATTTGGTTTTATTGAAAAAAATTTTGGAGAAAATTTGGTACAAAAGATCTACAGATTAAGTGCGTCCTTCTGTATACTATATCTATTTTTTATATTATGCTATTTATGATATATTTTATCTCATTTTATTTCTTTACTTTTCTTTTTTTCTAATAAAATTCTCATAAACACATCTAAAGTAAATATAGTTAAAGAAGTATGCAAACAGGTTTTAATTATATTTTGTTTAGAAAATCCACATTTACAATCTACACTTGAAAAAGGAATACTACTAGTAATATGAGCAAGTTTAATCATATTAGGAAAAATATCAGAATAATCACGAACTAGAAAGAGAAGTAATTTCTGTGAGAAAAATGTTAAAAAATTTAAAAAAATAACATTTTTAAAACTAGACCATTCTATTATACACGAATTTATATCAATTAATAGTAAGAATTTTTGACTATTTATAGTCTTTGCTATTTCATAATGATCAAATAAGATTTGCAATTTATTGTTTCCAAATTCAAATAATTCTTCTTTTTTACATAGCTATTCTACTGGATTCAAAATTCTCATTGCTGCAAGTAAAGGATAATCAGAAAAACATTCTTTAATTTCTGCAATAATTGTGCTTGCATATTTGTAAATATCTTGAAATAAATCATCAAAATCATAATTATTATATATAAGTAAATATGTATGATAATTTACACCTGTTTGCTTATTGAATAGATTTGTATGATCGATAAAAAGTTGAAGATTATAGCCCAGATAATGATTTTAAATATCTAAAGTATCTACGAGATAATCTTTTTGAATAATTGTAGTTGTAGTATTAATTATAGGAATAATATCTCAAAAATAATGATTACTCTTTTGGAAAAATTTATTTAAAGATGCCAAATAATCTAAAATATCAAAAATAAAATGAAAAAATCCCAATAATCGTCAGTTACATAATCATTAATACAAGTTATTAGCAACTTTATTATTGTCATGTTGAAGTTGTAAAAGAACAGCTAGTAATGTTTTAACAAAATTTTTTACAGCATCATACTAGCTAAGCCATCGTATGTCTTTTAATTTTTTTAAACGTAGCTTAGAACAATCAAGAATTTGTTGATATTCTTGAAGAATATGAACTCGTTTTGCAGAATTTTTATAATATTTGTATACGTCTCTTATAATAATCTCAGTATTATTGAAATAATCAATTTGCTTTTGTGAATCTTTGCAAGCTAATGCTAAACGATATGCTATACAATAATTGTAGACAATATATGAACAAATTTGTGATAATTTTTGTGCAATACTATTTTTACATCCAATCATTACAGATACACTATCTGAAGCAAAAGCTACTAATTTGTCAATAATATCATAACTTTGAAATAGCTGAATCAATTTAGTAGTTATTGTTGTTGCATCACTTTGATCAAGTGCTAATAATTGTAAAAAATGTGTTTTCACATTTCCAGAAATATTTGGATACATTACATATATATCAATATACTTATTCATAGCAATATCTATACTTTCGTCGATCATAATTTCAAAAGATATGGCTTCACTAAACTCTTTTCATATTTCAGCCTTAATTACATTAAATATAGCAAATGCGATTTCACGATCAGATATTTCATTTTCATAAGTAATAGCACCATTTACAATAAATAAAGACTCTAATTCATGAGATAATTGAACCATATATAGAAGTTTAGCTAGTGGTATATCTTGTTGTACAAGAGTATATACAATTTTTGCAATTCCAATTATATGATTTTTATTTTTTTCTGTAAGTTGTTCCAATTCTTTATTAACTGTTTTTTCAGCAGCATCAAGTCTTATTGCATCTTTATGTTGCTCCGAAGATGCATGTTCTTTAACAGAACTTTTTCAACTAAAATTTACAGATCCCGTACTTCCAAAAGTGTTTGATTTATTGTAACATTTACAATATTTACAAAATATCCATTGAGAGATTTTGTCAAATTGAAGCCATCTAAATTCATTAAGCCAAGAATTTTTGAAAGCAGGTTTGGATTTCGTTACAGTCTTTAATTTTTTATTCTTATTAGATAATGTTAATTCTTAGTTACTTTGATTACTTTCATAATCATATTGGTAACTTTGGTCATTTTCATAATTATAATCGCTTTCATGGTTGTCTTGAATATATTCATGATGATTTTGATTGCTTTGGTTACTTTCGCTTTGATCCATTAGTTAAAAAAAAATTTTTTTAAAAGAACTTATATACATATATAAACTTATGTACATATTATGTATTAATAACGAAAATTTAATATACCAGATACTACGTATTTTTACGAATATAATTTATTATGAATATAATTTATTACATATATAATTTATTACGTGATAAGTAACGGAAATTTTCCGATTGATAAAAAATTGTGTCAGAATTTGTCAGTCATAACCGGAATTTCCAGCATTTTATAATACAATTTTGTGCTCTGACAATAATATCACAATTCTAACAAAGACTAAGTTCGCTGAAATGAAGACCATAATTATTATTTACAGATTTTTGCTTTGCAGCACTCCATTTCTACTTGGGTTCAATCTTTAGTTATTAAGAAGATTTATAATGTAAGTACAAGTTAGTTGACTAATAATAACTATTATACTATTAATTTAAGGTGGCGAAGTCGCCTACATGATCATGTTATGGTTTAATATAAATATCCCAAGAATTACTAATTTGATTTTTAATATTCTTATGAAGTCCAAGGAAGTTTGCTTAATGAATACCTTTTTTGATGCATGTAGTTTTTAAGTTGAAAGTAAATGCCTTAGACTTGTTGTAAACAGGTAAACCCGTTTTTATTACAGTAATTTCATTAAATCTATAATAAAAAATAAATTTAGCAATTGTTATTTAGAAAATTTCTAATTACATCTGAAGATATAATTCAAAAATGTCTTAATGAAAGACACATTGAATTTTACGAATATTCTCGTTTCAAGAATGTAAAATTGATTGGAGAAGGAGGATATGGAAAAGTATACTGTGCCACTTTAAAGAATAACGAAATCACTATAAGTAATAATATGGCCATTAAAGAAGTTGTTAATGAGGTATTCTCTTATCAGAATTAAGGATTTATTATGAAATATAATTTGTATAGCTCAAATTATTGCAAAGTAGATATGCATTCCAATATTATACGTCTATACAGTGCTACTAAAAATGAAGGTAAATGAACCAATTTAATTTATAAATTATTTTTTTTTTTTAATGAAAAAGATAAATAGTAATTAAGATATACTATTTTCAATATGAAAAGATTTAATTGCACTAACAATTTGTAATGCAAAAATTGATCTTATCATTCCAAGAAAGACATTTAAAATAAATTTGAAAATATAATCTTAAAAGTTCGAATCTGTTTTATCTGATATAGTACATAGTGACCTGATAATTTTTTAAATAAATTATTAAAAAATTTTTTACATACATTATTTTTTTTAACCCTAATATTTATAATTTTTAATAGCATTCAAAAAAATATACTTGTTTATCAAAATTAAACTTACAGATTTTGGTCTTTCAAAGAGATAAGAACTCCAACACCATATACATCTGATTTTTTGTTAAGTCTAAAATTTCTATTTTCGTTTCTTGATCGTCCAAAACTTGTAAGTCCATATATGGAATTATCCCAAGACATTTTTGACTTGAAGTCGTCGCTTCATCTTTGTAGATACCGAACAAATTATTCTTAACATCTTCACGATTGAAATGATGGAGCTTAATATTGATGTCTCTAAAAATATTAACTATCTGGTTTCTAAAAACTGTAGAGTTGATTTGAAAGAAAAAAATCGATGAGTATTTCATGCATGAGAGACTATTCATGGGCGATTGAATGGATACGGGTCATCCACTAGCATAGGTATCTCCCTAACAAGGGTCGAAAGGGCCTCACTTCATCTCTCATGAGTTTAACATAACGTACTCAGTAATAACTTACATGTTTGGTGATCATAGATCTTTTTTTCATCTAACGTGATAATTGGTGTGGCCATCTCGATTAAATGGTACGTAGTACGAACTTTTCTACTGTTTTATTAAATAGTCAGTTCGTTATAAAAAGTTAATAAGCTCATTCAAAATTTAATTTTAGCTTTACATACTACGTACTACGTATGGGGTACAACTCAAGGTTGCACGACATGATTAATCGAATGGTTACACGAGATATGACGATTTTGTAAAACAAGATAATCTTTTGCAAGATAGTGATCCGTTCAAATCCGACGAATGATTGTATTACGTAATCGAACAGATGCACGTGTGTAGATTCTTATGAATGAAATTTACCGTTATTTAATACATATTTATTATGTGCAAACTTGGCACGTTCTCTAATTTACTTGGATGTTTGAAGTGATCGACAAAAACATAAAACATAATCCCACATACGAAAAGGAGGCGCATGCATGTGGTATGACTGTTTATTGGATGCGCTCCAGCCCCAAATAGGGCCGGACGTTAAAACTTTATTAAATTGCTTTTAGAGATATATACAGCATACATCATTGCT